GTTTTCATTAAGAACTTCTAACCTTGCTTCAAATAATTCGACTGCAACAGAATTCATGGAACCCCATCTGAAGTTGAAGTCCATCCTTTGGACAGATTACAATCTCAAACTTTGTGTTCTTGCATAATTTCATAACTAAAAAACATTAATGAAAACGAAAATTCAGAGAAATTTGAATTTCTCTGGGTTGAATCCAGAGAAATTTGAGAAATTCTTGAGGCCTCTGCTCATGAGTTGTTGCCTTCGACACTGCTGAGAATGCATCAAACAATGAAGCAACAGACCAGCATTCGAAACATGGACAGACCAGCGCCGGAAACAAACTCCCACCTTTTCACAACAACCTACACAACGTATCCTAAACCAGCGGCACGCGCAAGAAGAGGACCCTCGGAAAAATGCCATTGGCGCCGGATTTTGAGAAGCGACGCCATAGCCAAGCTTCCATGCACCACCGAAGCACTAAGCATTGCTTAATACCTTCACAGGTAGTGCACTACCAACACACCACCAGTGAAATAGCTCCATCAACCGAAATACATCATCGGCTGGACCAATAATCGCTGACAAAAAGATCGCTCTGATTTTTGAAACAGATAATTAAAAAATAAAAAGAAGAAATAATAATATAGAATAGAGCAGACTAAAACAGACCCGATTCAACAAACACAGGACCAGGCGAGACCTCCGATGGTGGGTTTGGTGATCAGAAGATGAGATGAGAGGGAGAGAGAGAGAGAGAGAAATCATGAACAGTGAATAGAGAGAAAGAAAGAGAAAGAGACTCTCATATATGTTAAGGGACCTTAGACATCAAAAAATAATTTTGTGGATGTCTTCCATTACAAAAAGTGGGAGAGGGACCCTAGACCGATTTTCCCTAATTTTTAACCCATTTTGAGTTATATCACCTTTCACATGAAACAGTAAAAAAAAATAATAAAAAAAAAGTAAAAAAATAAACTTTTAACCATCTTCCTAAAACACCAATTTATAAACCAATGAGTGGTTGCCTAATAATCTTAGCTCCATTAAAATAAGTAAAAATTGTAAATAGATGAGATAGTCATAAAATAAAAACACTACAAATGAAATATTTTTAGGTACAATTTTGAGGAAGAGTTGTATCAAGCACATAAACATGAGAGTTACATCATCATAAAAATATAATTTTTTTACTACTACATATTGAAATGCAATTTTTTCGAGAGCTTCTATTTGCATATACCCATTCCTCTCTATGCACATCCTTCTCAATACACACACCTAAAAAATTAATCCCAATTTATTTTGCTCACTCCACACACTTTTTATTCCACATCTGCCCTCAAATGTAAATCTTGCACACATACATACCCCTAGACCTATCTCTCACACACAAACCCCTTAGACCCCCAAACTCGTCTCTTTCACACACACACACACCCATCTCTTATACTCTACCTTTTGTTCCGAAAAGCTGCATCCATCCATTGAAGACATCTCATTGAAGCATTGAAGACATCTCACTGAACCATTGAAGGAATTCTTCACATTTGGAGAACTTAGGTTAGTTTACTTATTTCAATCCTCATTCCTATTTCATTTGTAATGTAGGGTTTGTTTTGACCATTTTCAAAATGAACGAACACATAGCCCACCGAAATAAGCAATCTGTTCGTCATTCGGAACTAGTTTTCCGAAAATAAACAACTTATTTGGAAGTAACATTTCGAAAATTATCATTTATTTCAACAGTAGAATTTCGAAATTTTTTCATTCTTTCGACATTCTACTTCCGAATATGTTTAATTCGGACAACATTCAACTTCCGAAATGAATTTGGTTTTTCGGTTTTCAACTTCCGAACAAAATAGATATTTGCAATTTTCAACTTCTGAACGGTTTTGTTTTGTTTTGTTTTTCCCCCCCTCTTTTGTATATTCTTTTTACAGTTGTATACTCATTAAATATATTAATTTTTGCAGATAATATGGATTCTGAATGTCAACAACGTGTTCCCCTTACTGCTTCAAATAGACGATGTTGTGAATTGGATGTTGACCACGAATGGGGATGAGGGCGTGGGCGAGGATGAGGTCGAGGTCGAGGTCGGGGTTGTGGTCGAAGTCATGATCCAGTTTCAGTAGAATATGATATCCCCAGTGCCAGTCAAAGTCGGAGCTGAAGCCGAAGATGAGTTAAAGGTGATGATATGTCTGATATTGCCGTAGAGGATGCCCTTTTACCCGATTCTCCTACTGTCCAGGAAGAGGACCTTACTCGTGCTTTTCCAGGTAGACCGACTGATCCACAATACTGCGGAGTTTCAATAGTCATGTTGCTGCAGCTGTTTGGCAAGGGGAGCTAAACATTCCTGAGTAGAAGTGAAATCCATTTGTATATGATTTTTTTGTGTGTTATATGGTAGTTTGTAATGAGATATTCATTTGTTTTATAAGAACGAGAGCCCCTAAAGTATCATAATCATTCTTTGAAGATCCTTGCATGGCCATAGTGGTCAGTAAACAACAACACCATATTCAAAGCCATTATTGAGCGGTCTGGGCTGTCACAGTTAACTCGTTGCACTTATCGGTTCGTCAGCAAGCTTCTAATCTCCAGCTTTGTTGAGAGATGGCAACTTGAGACGAACACATTTCATACGACAGTTGGTGAGATAACCTTGACCTTGGATGATGTTGGCACTATTCTTAGCCTTCCCACTGTAGGCAGATCAGTCAACGTACCAAATGTGACAGATCTTCATGGAGTTACACTACTAGTTTCTGGCTTGGGGATTATTAAATGTGTATCACATGACGAAGTTTCTACTACTGGTGGGAATTCAGTCAGGCTTGAGTGGTTGCAAAGTCAGTTTGCTAGTGTCATAGATTCAGACCCAGAGGACACTATACAGTGCGCTGCTAGAGCTTATTTGTTGTTTCTGTTAGGATGTATGCTTTTCAGTGACAAGAGTGGCGACAGGGTTTTTGTTGTTTACCTTAGCTTATTGATGGATTTGGGATCCATTCATACTTACGCCTGAGGTGCTGTTGCATTAGCATTTTTATACAGACAGTTGGGGTATGCTAGCCGGTTCGGTGTTAAGCAGATGGGTGGTTATATGACTTTTCTAGAGGCGTGGATTTATGAGCACTTTCGAGCATTCCGACCTCACCAGAATATGGGCTACAATGAAAACATGCCACACGTGTACCATTGGACATCAAGGAGAGAGGCGGGTTCCTCCATTGATCATTTGAAATCTTTTCGAGCGGAGCTTGACAGTTTGGTAGCGACTGATGTAAGTTTACTCGTCCGGAGATAATTTTAACACTTCCCATTTATCTTACCCTTTATATACTTTAATTCAAAACCACTTTACGTTTACAGGTTATTTGGAATCCATACCACAGTTGTAGAGACTGACATCCATGTAACCCGGTTATGTTCTACCATAGATGCTTGAAGTGCTTAGACATAGTTGAACCCTATCATCCAGATAGAGTTCTAAGGCAGTTTGGCAGGGTTCAAACCATTCCAGATACATCGCTGGCTCCCACTCGTGGTGCTCAAGGCAACATATCTGCACGATATACAGTCATGTATAGATACTTGGATAGGATTTGGGAGGCTTGGGATAACCACGTGTTATCTGAGCAGCGGAGGAGCATACCAGTTTGTAAGCCTGGGGAATGTGTACGAGGTTACATGGATTGGTATAAGAATATCACACATCTATATGTTGAGCGCACTAATGGACCATGTGTGCATGAACATCAGGATTTCAGCTAACATGCCAATGTAATATATTATCCTTTTTTATGCATTTGTAACTTACTTTTTCTTTTATAATATGTTCTCTAAAATGTGATGTTCTTTTCAAATGCAGCGTACTACACATGCACTAAGAATTGCACATCCTATTATTCAAGCTGATTATGAGAACGGGATTCGAAATCCTCATTGACTTTACCAGGCTATCGAGGCTATGACGCATGTCTTTAAAGGTCAGCACATTGACGAAGCTGGATCTAATTCTGCTGGACCTAGTTGTACTGGAGGTCGCTTTTCATCTCCGACATTGACATACAGCCGTAAGCCTAGTCGTAGGCATACAAATGATTCGTGACATGTTATTTGTCAGTTGATGAATTTTTTGTGGTGTTTTTGTAAGCTGATATTGTTGTACACATTTTTTAATGACATTGTAAAAGATATTTTGTTATTAGAATGGAATGGTAATAATAGTCGATGACATTGTAAATGATATTTTGTTATTAGAATGGAATGGTTACAATAGTCGATGACATTATAAATGATATTTTCTTATTAGAATGTAGTGGTAACAATTGTCGATAACATTCAATCCATGCCACAGAACACATCAACATCAAAAAACACATCTATTAATTTCTTTCATAGTTTTAACATTGTCAAATGCATACATGTGTCATTCGACATCAATAACATCAAATGTCTCTCGAGTAGCTACAGTATCATCAATGATGTCTTTGAAATGCTGAATGTAGCGCACATATGCATCATTCTGGTCGACAGCGCAAGGGTGACGGTATTTTTGCCAATTAGTGGCTATAGGAGGAACTGGATGGCTTGGCTGCAAAAAAACCTGCACCAAATGTCAATTGAGTTAGTGGTAATACCTCATAACTTCCTGTACATGCACAAAATGATAAGTTTGTCTTATACCTGGACGAAAGGATTTCCGTTGACAAACCCAATGACAATCTCAAGTCTATCAAGTTGAGGTACTGGCACTGTTCTAAGAGGTAAAAAGGTGAGACATAGCTGTAATGACAAGTGGTATAACACAAGATTGTAGCACGATGCAACAAGATGCCCCATGTCTGGCATAGTCATCCAATATGAGTAACCAGGGCTGTCTTCAAAGTATGACAATATGCTTGTCAATTTTTCAAACCTTTCGTAGGATCTATGGAGTGTAATGTATTCCTCTTTGTGTGTGTGCAGCTCACCCAAAAGATCACGCCTAACTTGAGCCTAATCATCTTCTGTATGACCAATTGAAGCAACTATAGCCTTGAAACCACAATTCTCATCTGTAGCTACATCTTTGGAAAACTTAATGTATGGTTTCAATCCAGAAGGGAAAGCATCAACATATGCACTAAGTTTTACTGTTCTGGTAATGCACACCTTCCCCTTCCCATTCACCTTCTTCTTTCCCTTAACAGGTCGCTTCTTCTTGGTTTCTGGAGTAGAAGCTAATGTAGTGATTTCAGTGTTTCTAGGTGAGAAGGAATCATGTCCAGATTGCACTAACTCAAATGCACACGGGTCACGACGAGTAAAAACATTGATCTTCTTATGACCTTGAGGACGTGTTTTGGGCTTAACATTTGGTTCAACAAGAAAAGTGCTTCCCAGACATACATCTCTTTCAACTTCTCCAAAAGCTCTAATCGCATGGTTCTATCACTTTTATTGAATTTTTTCACAAACAACTATACTTCTGCATGACAAATCACCTTCATTTCCTCTTCTTTGTTGCATATAGAGATATAAAGTTGCCTCCACTGTGAGTGTATGGTAGCAAGTGGTATAGGACGATCTTGTCTGATGTAGTCAGCAATCTCATGGACACAAGGTAAACCATGAGCGTGGCGAAGGAGCATCCACAAGCTTCAGTATCAATACCAATGGAATTGACTCTCTTACTCTCCACAAGCAAATACTCTAATGCAGAAATAGACACATTACCTCGTAGCTCTCTAAACTGAGAAGGCTTGAATTGATGTTGCACCACAATTAGACTTTTCTCAAACAAAGCCTTGATATCATTGTGTTGCAAATCAAGCAAATTGTGTATTTTCTCAAATGATGTCTCAAATGAGACTTGACATGCACCCAATTGTCTTTTAAGTTTTGCATGTGCACTCTCAGCCCTATTTAATTCAATGTAAGTCAAATAAAAATCAAGTACATAACACTTATTAATAACTTATTGAACAAAAGTAATCTTACTGGTTGGTTGTAACATTGCCACAATGCATACACGTGTCTGTCCATGTCGCTACAAATTTCTCATTGTAAGGAACCAACCAAGTATCTATGACGTAGTTCACTGCATTGGGATAACTACTGAATCCCTTAAGTAATGATCTAAGACGCTCATCAAATTGAATTTCAGAAGATGAATACACTAAAGAGTTCCACTTATGGTTGAACTTCTCTCATTTCTGCTTTATCTCAAACATTTTCTTGCATTTGGTCAATATATTCTTACTGATATGCCAACGACATAATAAATGTCTACCACTCGGGAATATCTTCTGTATGGCATTCATTAAGGCTAGCTCTCTGTCAGTGACAATAATCGCTGGCAAAACAAAACCATCCATGGCATCACGTAATGTAGCTAACACCCATGCATAGTTATCGACCCTCTCAGACTGTAAGTATGCGAAAGCTACTGAGAAAGTCATTTCAGTTGATGTCACTCCCCATAATTTCAAGAAGAGGAAGATGATATATGTTGGTTTTATATGTGTAATCCATAATCAATATACGTGGGAAAGACCAAAATAAGTCCAAATTGATAGGATGTGCCCAAAACAAGTCTGTCGCAGTCATTGTGGACTCTTCACATTGATGGTGCTCAATGTAATCATATTTGGCCAATTCACCCAATAAGTGTTGCATTTGTGATTTTCCAGCTTTCTGTAGCACCCTGTTTCGATGGCGTACATTGTAAATGGTTTTAAGTGTGCTTATATTGAGGGCTTACTAGGATCTCTTTTGGCCTAACCATGCTCTTTGACATATCCATTAATAATGTTTTCTCATCTTTTGACAGCCTCTCCGCATATGAATGTCCCTAAATGTGCTCCGTAGGTGGATGGTTATGCAATTCGCATACTATGGTCAATGTCCATTTATCATTTTTGGTATACCTGTGAGTGTAATAACCCTCACCACTGCTTACCGATAAACAATGATTACCGTTAAACTGAACTGATTATGACTGATAATTGAACTGAGTAAAGTACTGAACTGACTGACTGAAAACTGGAATTGAATTGACTAGTGATATCTGTTTAACTGTATGTCTATCTGTTGCTTGATTCATTATCTGTTTATGTCTTTTTGATTTTACTGCTAATTGAAGGCCTTATCGGCGGCCGAACTGGGAATTGATTAATGTTTCATGATCCTCATAATTAATGTGATTTTATGGTATATTTATCTGAAAACTGATTAGGTATGATTAAATTAGATTAAAATAAGCTAATTAAAGAGTTAGGCTTAATTACCAAATTGCCACCCTTAGTGGCCCACTCAATATAACATATTTGAGCCTTACATTTGACCACATAACACATTTGCTCAGCCTTTCTCCTTGCCATAGCCGACTAAGAGAGAGAGAGGGAGAGAAATTGAGTTCTACCTTGTGAAATTGTTTGGAAATTGAAGAATTGTTTGAGAGATTGCATATTTGAGCTCCCTTCTTGAACTACAAGACTTAAGGTAGCTCCATTGTCTTCTTGTTCATGTTTTGAGTTGATTCTTGCATGGTTTAGAGCTAAGTTGAAGTCTAGAGCCACCTTATGGCTCAAATTGTCATGTTGAAGCTTAATTGTTGTATGCATGTACATATCTTGAAGTTTTGAGGTTGTAGTTCATAATTCCTCACATGCATGTCCATGTTTTGAGAGTAGTTCATGAAATCATCTTGTTATAAAGAGAATTGGCTCCTTAGAGCATCAATTGGAGCTTCAAAATGATTTGAATTCATGCATGTTTGCATGTTCATATTGTTCTTGATATTGATTTGAAATTGGGTTTCAATTAAACATCCTTGGGCTTTGATTTCTCAAAATTGAGCTTTGAACCATGATATTCTATGCATTTACAAATGTTTTCGGGAAATTTAGCCCAAGAGGTCGAGTTTTGAATTGTGAAAACTTGGTTTAAGCTTGGAGGTGCAATCTGGGTTTTCCAGATTTTGCACTTCCGCTCGAGCGGGGAAAGTGGCGCTCGAGCGTGGAATCCGAGCATCCAGCA